AAGAGAGAGATGCATGTGGCGGCCGCGCGTGTGTGCATGTGCGGTGTGTCGTGGTATGCCTATCTCACAAGGGGTGAAGCACGAGTTTTGACAGCCTGGCTCGGACCCCTAAGATCAGAGTTCATTGACGAAAACTAATTCCCTTCACCTTCTCTGCCTGTCCTCTGCGTGAGTACTCAATTTTCTAAATATCTTGAATACTGTCTTGAGAACCTTCTTTACTTTTATTAGGAAAAATGGAATATTTTCTAAATATATTTCCTCATTTAAATGTAAAATTATTTTTGAAATTCACCTCTTTTTTATGCACAAACGATTTATTCAAATAATTAATTTGTAATTTCTAATTAATTATTTTTTGGAAGTAAAAAAATAATGCGAAATGAAATAGTTCACTTGTGAGAAACGTTTATAAATACTCACTTTATCTTCAGTCTTTATGACTTTCGTAGGTATTTTGGATAGGGCTTTTCTAGCTGCACTGCACAATCGCCTCTGTAACAAAACGAAAATATTAAGTGTAAATGGATGACAACTTTACATTTGATGTCATTTCATTTGGTTCATAATATCATTAGAATCAATGAACTGAAAAAACAAAACATTTTCGATTATGCTGGTGGCATTTTTGGTAGGAGTTCTGACATACATCCAACGAAAATAAAAACAATTCCGATCAAATACTTATTTGAATTTCTTTTATTTAGATTTTAAATTTTGAAAGACTTTTGAACTCGAGGACGAGATATGAGTTCTGCAGAACACGTAATCCGGCGAACGTAGTCACTAACCTAGTGTACGAGTAGAAGGCGCTGCTTACACAGAAGAATACAGTAGAGTATTTTTTAGTTTTACATAGTGCAGAACTATATTCTTTCACGCTGCTTTGTTTTATATACTACATGTATCCCCACCAGCAAGCCCGGCTGCGAAGCTTGGCTCGCGCCGGACGCAAATCTGTCTCCGCTGCTATTTGCTCCATTGTGCGAAGAATGCGACAGCTGCCACCGGCGCCCGCGAGACTTGAGATCCGGGCTTGTACGTGTGCGGTCATATGAACATAAAACAAAGTAGCAGCGTAAATGAATATACCTCTGCCCTATGTAAAACTAAAAATATTTTTCTATATTCTTCCATGTAAGCAGTGACCTCTTACTCGTACACATACGCCTCTTTCTCATGTTAGTAGATAGATATTCCAAATTATTTAAAATGGATATGTAAGGAAAGTGACAGACGAAGGATAGCAAGACATAGGTAAGAAAATGAAACTACAGCGAGTAGATATTGGCTAAACAGTGAGGGGGAAAAGGGAAGGATCTGTGAGATGGAAGAGGAAGACCAGGAACATATTTTAGAGAGATGTCGTTTTTTTGAGGAAGGAAGAATGAGGGAAAGGTGGAATATGTTCAGGGTGAGGTCAGGTGGATATTAGAGGAGAAAGGTAAAAGCATGGTTGAGAAATACAGGAAAGTGCGTATTATATAACATATTATTGCACACTATTTGTAATGTATTCAATCTTTTTGTACATTATTAAAGGTATCCAACTGTTGTATTTACAAAGTTGTAAAAATAAATTCATTCATTCAGTAGTGTTGGTATGGGTAGTTTTGGTATCTTAACTTATAAGAAGGTATATTTTCGAAAAATGGTGATCTTATTTCAAAGCTACTAATAATCAGAGGTCTAGCTAACAGCGAGGCGATTTCTCTAGGGAGGTAAGTGAAGAATGTCCTCATTTATTTTCTTCGTATGCATGTAATTAACAAATAAAATTAAATACGAGAAAAAAAAGATGTTGTCTGGTATAAAAAAATATATTATGCTAAAGATCTTTTCGATTGCGTGGCGATCATCCTCAGAACTTGCAGTTTCCGGGCCGAAAACAAAGTTATGAAGTTTTGAGTTCTGAAGAATTGAATTTAAAAGAAAAGCTTGAAAATATCTATGGCATAATATATTTTTTTATACCAGACATCTTTTATTTAGCGTATTTAATTAATAGAAGGTATCTACCTCACTAGAGATCTAATTAACAAATAAAATAATTGCTTTTTGATGTTTGAGAGAAAATGTACAATTTTTTAAGCTGATAACTTTGAGAAAGTTGATTTTGATCAAGTTTTAAACCTACGTGTAGCTTAAATGCGCGCGAAAACGACTGCAATTAATCGAAGTTGCTCTGAGAAGGAACTCTCGGGTTTTCGCTCATATCTCTCAGCGCTCCAGCGGCCAAAGGAGGAAACGTTTTTTATCGGAGCGATATGACAGGATGGGAGAATCTCATCCCTTGAAGTCACATCTATTGACTTCTTTTTTAACCAACAGAACGCGTCATGGGTGGTGAGTCACGCAACACAAACAAGCATCAGAGTACGCAAGGATCAGACCAGATGATCAGACGTGGCCAGAGAGGCAGGCCGGGGTAATCTTTTAATTTGGGCTTAAGGAAGAAACAAAAAACTGAACTGACAGATTTCTCTCTCTAGTCCCATCGCAAGTTGACCCACATAATATAATTTATATGTTGAAATTGAAGTCCTTTGTGCAATTTGCTTCTTTGCTCTTAAAAACATACATAAGCCGCCTCTACGTGAAACCATTGTAAATGAAAATGAAATGCATTCCCCTAGGAAATGAAAGCACTGTGGAGAACGCCTATCATTTCTAGACATTTAGATTAGTCACTTTGGAGAGTTTTATTTGTAAAAATTTCCACCTCCGAAGCTAATCCTTACAATACTGAATCACGACTTGAATTGATAAGGACAGATGCGATCAATGTTTGGATACAATTTGTGGCAATATTATTTTAAGATGCCTATGGCAGTAATAATAATTCAATTACTTTCAGAATAAGGTAGTTATTCATAATCCTCCCGTGAGAGAAAGTGTTTTATCATAATTGTTAGAAGCAACGCCCTTTACAGGAGGATCCATAAAACCTTTGATTATTCTTTCCATAAATTAGTTACTTAAAACGCTTTACTTTTCAATATCTAATCATAATTTATTATAACTAATCCGATGAAAGTATATTTTTAACTGTGGTCTTGTGAAAATTGTTGTTAATGTGACAATCGTTGCACTAGGCTAGATAGATATAAGCCACTTGTCCTTTAATTGGATGCAGTAAAGCACATACAAGCTTAGCACATTCTTAGGACTCCTCCTGGATCGAGACACCTCAATACTATTGTAATAAAAAATATGTTAGTTCATAAATAAGTAAAATACTTAGATTACTTTTTAATTGCATAAGTTATAGTTTATTTCAACATTAATGTTAATAACACGTTAACATTTCATTATAACGTCCCACAGACTGGTCATGCCGAGGGCTTCTTAATATATTAATTAGGTCCTACGTCTAAATAACTATTACTTGGTGTTCCCGGTATTGCCAAGCCACACACTTACCGACAGTCGGTCTTTGGCATGGATGTAGCGGAAACGCTGCACGTAGTAGAAGACCAGCCACGCCAAGGAAATCATCATGAGGACGATGAACGAGATGGACACGAACAAGACGGACGTCCTGCAACAGCGTAAGCACATGCCGTTGTCACAGCTGTCGGACATTGTTGCCTCTTTTCTTTCAGAGTTCGAAGGTAGGGACCGAGGTAGACTTCGAATTCTAGTGGGGGATTCCCAAAAACTCATTGCGTTTTTTGTTAATTCATTCAATTTATTCACATCAATACCACATCCTCGTAGCCCTGAATTCCGAAAGAGTATTCTTGTTAAACTGAACTCAGAACAGTTTAGGGTCGAAACGTTGAGCGTTACATTTCAATTATTTACTCGAACATATTAAACCTTTAACATTTTTGTAATAGTTTTGCTTCTGTATTCGTTCTAATGTGTGATTTTAAGATTAAACTGATTTTGTCTATGACTTGGACCTCAATTTCTGTAAAGTCCAAGCGGATGGAATTTCAAGAAATTCACGCCGTAAAATGTTATTTTTCTCGAACAAAATGTAAAGAGAGAGGGAGGAAGTCCGAACTGACATTAGCTCTGAACCACTCTCTGGATCTCCCTCCCCCTCATCCTCCCTTGTGACGAGCAAATAACATGGATGCGAACATGCGAAACGTAGTTTGGCTTGACACGATCAAATCGGAACGTCAGCTGGACGCCACAACCATGCAAGTGCTATTATATTCAATGTGTTTTGAGGCAAAATAAGCGAGGTCATGAGAAAAAGTTTCATTTTCAACATCTGGTTTCACTTTATCATGTGAAATATCAATCGTCAGGTTTTCTCAGACGGGAAATGGATGCCAAAGAAACTACTGATTTAAAAACATGTTACATTCGTATTTCACAAACTGAAAAATCGGGGAAGTAAAGTAAAATTGTAAGGTTTTCAATTATGATTTTTTTAAAGGTAGCAATGCATGAATCGCATTTGAATAGGGTTAATCTTTTCTTAAGTAAAGTGAATATCTAATTTCGTAAAAATGTCTGAAAGGGGAACTTCAAAATACGAAATATGATGCTAGAATTGCAGATTCGTGCATTTGTTAACAGTGTGGTATTATTAAGCGTGCAATTCGTGAACTGTGAACGATTTTAGGACACTCTTAATAACATCTTTTCGTAGGTGGTAGGTTGTTAAGGAAATAAAGAAGAAACAACTTATTGAATGTTGAATTAATTCTATATAAAAGTTCACTCGAGCAAAAATGATAGTTATTAACAAACAGTGTTTTATGTTCATTTATTTCAATAAACAAAATGATCGCAAATGAACTGATGCGCTGTTGAATGTTTTTATTATGTATTTGGCAACGTAGACATTTTAATTGGACTCATGATCGAACTCGCAATCACCGTATTATTTTGAAACAAAGCAGAAGTTTGTTGTAATCAAATTCATGTTGCTTGCTGTTATTGTTGCGGTATTGAATCAATTGGCAATTGAGGGTCACCATTAAAAATAGGTCTAGACTAATGACCTAATCTCGATTAGGTTTTTGGGCGGGTTTCTTTTTCTCACAGAGCGAATGCTGAGACAGTTCCTTGTCTTACCGTTGGTAATAGAGCATTGATCTCCTTTTTATTACTCGCAAAGTTTAGGACATAAATAATTCCACACAGAGTAACAAAATGTTATCGTAATTAGAATATATTGTTTTCGAGATGAAAGTTCATTGAGCTTTAATTTTTTTTTCACACCCAGTGACCAGTACTTTGATTCGTTCGTGAACAACTTGGAAGTTCAAGATCCTTCATTCGTTAAGAAGACTGAAAAGAATTCAAAAGCCAGTTGGTTGCGACGAGGGACTGATACATTCGCTGAGAGAGAAAGGTTTCTCACGCCAAACGTAACAGACCTCCATCTTTCTTAATTCATTTAAATTATTCGGCAGGGCTTTTATTTCAGCAAAGGATTTAGAAACCAAAATGAGAAAATATTTTTTTTTAGATTGGAAATAATTTAAACCCAATGAATGGATAACAAATAGGAAAAGACGTGAATCACGTTAGTTGCGTGTTAAATATACAGATACAATATGAATTACTATTCAACTATTAGATTTAACAGTTACAAAAGTACAAAAAGGAGAAACGTTAATAGATCCACTCTTGTCGCTTCCTCTCTTGGATCCGCCACTGCTCAAGAGCCAGATTTCACTAACATATTTTTTTGTATCAATTTCACACTTTTTAAACAACCAATATTCTATCAACAACTAGATCACTTTTACACAAATTAACAAAAGTGCTGGGAGGACAGAGAGATAAGATGTCTCAAGTAATGGGTTTTGGGGAAACTGTCTACAATACAGTACATGCATGCGAAATACACAAGCAAAGCGAGAGTAGCATGCACAAGAGATCAGAATGCTTTCAGTTTCTCAAGAAATTAGCAATGTTGCAAGGATAATTCACTCCACATGTCATGTTTTAATGCATTTTCACAAATCACAAGACATTACTTCGTTTTAAAGGCGTGTAACAAACATCGAATGCTTATTACTGCGCAGTCTCTAGAGCGTAAAAGTCTAGATACCTAAAAGGATCAACAATCTGCCGTTTACGAGATTAACGACTGACCATCCTAAAAAGGGCTAAGACAACTCCGATAACATTCGTTGACACTGATAATTTGAAATAAAAGGTAAATGTAGACATACACAACCGAAGCATGTATCCCGTGCTCATCATTACACAATACACCAAGAAAATAAAAACTCAGTTCTCCGTACTTTGATGCCATCTCGGGCACTAAAGAAATATAGGAAAAGAGAAAAAAGCAAATCAGAACAGACTAAAAAATTAATATTTTATATCGCCTAATTTTTAAGTGAAAGGGCTGGTTTCTTAAACAGTATTAAATCTCTCATTATGTCGAACGAATTGATTTTATTATTGTGTTTAATATTATTACGTGTGATGTTCGGAAAAGCTATTTTATCTCAACAAAACGCTAATGTATAAATAGGGGAAGTACAATTCACGAAATTGTGCGAAAGAGTTTAAACCTTCAACATCATACAACAAAATCTATATAGTCAATTGAAATGTATATCAGTATACTTTCTTAATATGCCTCTTAGGAAAGAATTAAAAATGTCACACGAAAGACTACAATGCATTAAGCAAAAAGTTCAGTGTGTAGTACAACTTCGGTGTATGCCCTCTAATTATGATAATTTTAAGATATAGATTATACTAAAATGAAACGGTTGATTAAATAATTTATTGATGAAAACGAATTTCGCGTTTCTAAGTCCGTGTGTAACGCAAATTTTATGGTTTCACAGAGGAAAATATTTTTAAAACGAAAACAAAAAAAATGTATACTACCAAGGCTGGTGAGCAACTAGCAAGAAAATTAGGAAAAACGGAAAGTCTTCAGAAGTATACTGTGAATACAAAAAGGATGTTTATCTGTAAACCAGTCACAATGATATATATGTTACTGTGACCGTGATATTAATAGAAAAATGTTGTTTACTGCATTACGTTTGTTCAATCAACAAATTAAGTGAAAAACAAAGAGGTAGCAGAATCGCTATGGGGCGCATTCTCAGGAGTTGAAAGAGGTCCAATGGAGTGGAGCTGACTAAAGGCGGCATGATGTTCTTACGAAGATTTTTCAAATTGTAGTTTGTTCCAAATATATTATTATACGTTTCAAAAACAGTATATTTTAATATTGTTAATTGTTCAATTACTGACATTTCACAGGAAGAGCGCATTGAAAATTTATGTGATTTGGCGCACGAGTTATTTTTCTACTAGCTCGTAGTAAACAGAAACATCACCGCACGAACTATTTATTTTACGTAATCTTGCCTAAAATTCTGCGTCAGACAATTAGTCAGACATTACTCCCACTCACACACACGCGCACGCACATACACACCCGCACACACACACGCGCGCGCGCGCGCGCGCACGCACGCACGCACGCAATAATTGCACCATCCTTAACTCTTCGACAAAACAAATACCAAGGACGAAGCACAAATCTGTGATCTGGTAATTGAGTTCGAAGTTCCGAGAAGCCAAGCGGGTCAATAAAAACTAAGGGAAAGAAGAAAAAGAAGACAAAAGGATGGAAGAAGAAAATAAGGCGAAAGAGAGAAAAAAGGATGATAGAGAGAAGAAACGAAGACGATGTTGGGGAGAAGATAAGAAGAAGAAGAAGAAGAAGAAGGTAGGGGGAAAGGCAGCATTTACACTCGAGATAGGTACAGAGGAGGCCTGCCTGCTCCAGGAGGCCAGCTAAAATCCTTCAGGGGATCGGCCACCTGGGCCTCCTCCGCGCCGGTGGCCCACGAGCCGCGCAGGTGGCTTTGGCGGCGAGTGGCGAGTGGCCCTGAGCCGGTCCGGGGCGGCGCCGCAACGCAGACTCTGCATCCCAAGAGAGCGGCTTCCGGAGGACGTCACCGCCGGCGGGGCGGGGCGGAGCGGAGCGGGGCGGGGCGCGGCGCGCCTTCCGGCCTCGCGTGTGGCGCCGCGACGCGCCATCGAGGACGCCTGCTCGCTCGCGGCGGCGGCGCCCAAGGCGGAGCGTCAGCCTTGGCGGGGGATCAACGGCGCCTTCCCGACACCGTTTACCGCCGATCTCCCATGTCGGCCTCGTTGATTGATTGATGGATTTAATTGACTAGCGATTCCGGCCGCGTCAACTGCTAAGCTAGTCGCTAGTCCCGTAAGTGTAGTACACGCTTTCTCTCGGAAGCTGGCGGGGATCTTCCCCTGCTGGATGGTGAGGTCCGGCGTCCACCTACCGTCCGCTAGGGGGGGAGGGGGTTGGGGGAGGTCATAACGTATCAACCATCGACACCTCTGAGATGTGAGGTCAACTGCGTTGCCCCAAAGTCGACCCGCACCTTACATGCGCCCAGGATACAAGGAATAAAAATATACAAGTAAAACTGGTTATCTCTCGGCAGTCCGTACCGTCAAGCCGCCGATTGTGAGTACTGTTAAATCCGCTAAACATTTTCCCCGTTTAAATTGTCGCTACATAAATATTGGTCGCCGCTACCATGCCTCAAATGAGGGAACAACTCTGGCTGCAGCTGATTGTTCCGGCTACTGGCCCCAATGACGAAACAATCTGGCT